TGGACTCTGTGTGTATTGCCTGCGACAGGAGCGGCTGATCCCAAATGGTGATAGGTAGGATGTCCGTCTTGGCGGGAGGGCTTAGATGCCCAAAGTGGACCAGTACACTTAGGGCGGGTTCATTTTAAGCAGCATATAGCGCGCATACCAGGTAGGAATATCCGCTGCACGGGCTCCCAAGCCAACCGTTGGGGACGATCAAAGCTCGACAGGACCCCCTTAGTGCCTGCCGAAATGCCACTGGGAGAGCAACAAAACGCAGTACACTAATGTAAAATGGTGATTGCCAGTCAGGTTTATGTCGACCTTACCTTGAAATGGAGACTTCCCAGATTTCCACTTGAGTAGTCGATGCAATTGCCAGCAGGCTTGACTCAGGTGAGCCGCGAGACCAAGCTACGAGCCGATATAGGTCCTGCAAGGCCACACACAGGTGTTGCACATTAGTGCTGCATTTGTGCAGAAGGATCCCAGTCACTCACGCCGTTCGAGTCATCTTCATGTAATATCAAAGTATCTGCTGGTTGCTCCAATACGCCTCGCCCAAATCCCGGAGTGCTGTCCATGTCTGCATAGCGCGTGATGACTACTGTCGAGCCAAGCGGCATCGCCGACACCTGCAACCTCGGGTTGTATCCTTCGGGACAGGGCCAGCAACAAGTAATCGTAAGCAAAGTAAGAAGGAAATCATTGCAGGCAATAGTATTGATACCATCTTGCAGCAGGTTTCCTTTGACGCCCGTCGCGATCAGCGCCTTACTCCACTCTGTCGGTCCATTGATGAGCATCTCAGCGATTTCAAAGGTTAAAATAAAAACATTTTTAAAAAACGTTTTCTAAAAAATGCTTTTTTTCCAAATTGCTAAACGAATGCTATAATGCGAACTTAACCCGTTGCTTTTGTCCGAATGCTCTCACTATACGCCGTATACATGTATATATACGGTACATAACAAACGACATGGAAGCACTGTAAGTAAACCGCTATCATCTTGACAACAAGACCCTTGTCCAAATCATCGTATAATACCGTGCTCATCTTCAGTCAATGATTAAAACACTTGCGTTGAAGCAACAGATCTGTGACGGGGTCACACAGCACCTTGCACGGAGGAAGTGCTTAAGGGTATTTACTACCCGAGTGAGTTCAAGTGGTTTCCGGGGCTTAAAGAGGAAGCGTTGGGCTAACTCAAAAAAGATAAAAGTAAGACTGAAGTTTTTATAAGTAAAACTTAGCTTGGGCTCCTTTACATACTAAAAGTTTACCCTTAATGCAGCTAAGTAGTCATGCCCTGACTGGCTTCTAGAGCACCTGGTACCGTGTACCAGTATCCACAAGAGTGACGGGTCACTCTTCATGTAACCTGGGGTACACTGGATTGTACCCCGTTACATCCTCCCCCACTTAACTGAGAGCCACCTGATTCTCCAATCAGAAGTGAGAGAATTAAAACGCCCAAAGGTGAATTCCCACACTAAGCAGCCACGAGACTGGCGCGGCTATCAGTCACACTCACGGTCACTGGGTTTGCAGCCCTATGCTCACAACTGTGTTGGCCACAAAGCCCACACTCAGAGCTGCCTTAGCTCCTGCGCTAGCGCGCGTGCAGTGCTTTGGCACAGGGCAATAGCATCCGAACGTGTGGCATTCGCCCACATCTCGCACCAGAGGACACGACAGTCCTCGCGAACGCGTCCAGAGCGTGGTGTCTCCCGCGAGGGACGACACCGAAAAGGGCAACACACTAGAGGGAGCTCTCAGCTCACCTCTGGCTATGCCTTGGGCTTCAGCAAGGATCCATCCTTGCGGGCGGAGCTTCTGCCACGCTCTCTCCGCGTCTTGGTCATCGTGCCAACGGCGCATAGGTGTCCCTCATCGACACCGTGTACCGTCAGTTACTAACCTTTGGTGCGGTACGCTCACCACAAGGTTGCCATGTTCGGCGGTGTAACGGGGTTACATGGTGTGGAACACACCGGGGTACGGAGTACCCGGAGAGCTAACAAACTCTCAGTACATAAGTTGGAGATTAACAGACTCTCCGTACATAAGTTGGAGAGCTAACAAGGTCTCTCAGTAAGCTGGCTGAAAGCCACACGTATGTACCTAATTGCCGTACTTTATCCGAATCTTGCCGTTTTCTTGTGTTTTTCGGTTTTCCAGCATGGTCACATTAAAAAAAACGATGTCTAACTTCGCCTTTCCAATTTACGGCAGGCTTTTTCCGAGATACGTTAAAGTTATGTGCTCTTGTCCACTCATGTAGTGCAGCCTCGGCTGCTTCTTCCGAGTCGTATTGCAGAGGAGGGGTGCAGGGATGAAGTACTCTGCTGGAGGAGGGTCCAAATCTACATCGTTGTCTTGTATATGGATAACTTGAGAAAAAATACCAAGTGTCATTCCCCCTTCCTGTAAATGTGTGCACTGAGCTCCACGCGGCATTGTTTGAGGGGCTGGGCGATTTGCTGCATGTGATAGCGTGTCAATTTTGAATTTTTGCTCTATGAAATGGCCATCTCTGTTTTGGCTGTAGATTATATTGCGCAAGCCCTGAGGCTTCTCTTTGACGAGACCCGGTTGGATCGTGTTGTGGAAGCGAGGTTGCTGTATTGGCAAAGGCTCAAAGTGCTTGTGATGATACTACGCTGGACATCGAATCTGGATGCTGGCGCAGGCTACATGTCCTTCGAGCGAGTTGTCGCTCGGACGCTGCTCCTAGCGATTGCGCATCAGTTTCGGTTGAAGGTTCATTTCGCTGCTCAGTGAACCCCGTCGCTTGAGTCCCTAGAGCACTAGGACCGTACGTCCGCACCATTGAGGCTGTAATAATCGAATCTCCCAGAATGATCTTTCTGCGTCTGTTAGTGATTTTTCTTTTATTAACCCTTTCGTGAACGCGAGGGTTTGCTTTAAATAAAGTATACTATACAACTCAAGATGTTAAGAGATCAAAGGATGCAATTTGACCCCTTTCATAAGTAACGGTACTGCGGAGGTCATATAGCTATCGCCTTCCATATGATTTTCTATTCCAAAACAAGGTAGGGTGACCATCAAGTGGGGCAAATTGACCCTTTTCATAAGTCACTGTACTTGCTAGAGCATTTTTTGTATTGGTCAAAATAACGACTTTCTGTGAAAAAGATGGTGACTGCTGACGCACTTCAATGTGATTGGGTAATAATCACAAGCGGAGGTTATAGACCGATCTTTCAATCCCACTCTAAAACCATGTGTATCGGGTGTGGGAGCGTAGCCAGTGATCTTGTGCATGATCAGAGTCGCAAAACTCACAGCTACGTGTAGCAAACGCAGCACAGTAGGTTTGACCAAACGTACAGTAGTAAGTACGACAAGCGGCATCGAAAACGGAACAGTGAGTGTCCTAAAAAATTTGTATCAGAAAGAATGTAGCATCTGCCTTGCGTTTTGTATACTAATGTAGTGTACATTTGTCTTGATTTTACTATGCAAAATCTAAAACTGCAAAAACAAATGGGCAGCAGAAACCGATCAAATCAGGAACGGGATCAACAGACACAAAAGGTATAGTCGACATCTTCAAATAGATGGCATATGAGGACCGCTGGTGGATCGCTGTACAACAGAATTGCACCCGTCGAGAAGACTTCGATCCTGATGGCAGTGAGCCGCCAGAACACAAGCAACCGACAGCAGGAATCAAGCGTCACGCATACAGCCACGGCCACAGGAACAACTGCAATCGTCCACAACTCCGCCGGCAGTGAGCTAGATAATAGAAGCGTGCCCGCCATGCAAGTAGCTGTTTTCAACGCAGATATTCCTGTAGACCAGAGCGTAGCTGGACCCGAGAATGCTGCACGTCTAGACGTTTCATCTGGGCAAGCGGCAGATACTGACTCAGCGACTAACGTCAACGAGCCTACCACTTCAGGCGCTCAAGTGCACGCCGTCTTAGCAGATCGTCGT